AGGAAATTATTATACCAATGCTTCTGGGGGGATTAATATTTGGATATGAGTACGACTTTATTAGGATACTTATTCACAGTGATGGCATATTTACAGTCTGATGTTCTTTTCTACTTCACACTGCCCAAACATATGGCAACAAACAGCGGTTGTTGGGTTTTGCTGGATCTGTGTCCATGTTGGTGATTGGGACAGTGTGAAAATAACTGTTATGTTCTAGATCACGAAGTCCTCCTGCACCTGTCTAAATCCAAACAACCACCTTTAGAATGTTTAAAGTGTCACCATTTGTTAGTATTTATTATATCAGTGGAAACCAGCCTCTTCAGCCATAAAATTATTATTAGTTTTTATGCTGCTTTGCTTTTTGCTGGTTAACAAAATAGTATTTTTGATACTAAGTTGATTGGTTTTTTTTTTGTTGTTTGTTTGTTTTTTGAAGTTTTGAATTCAGTTAAGTTGTTTTCCCCTCAATGAAAGCTGATGGCAAGTATTCATTACCATTATTACTTAAAATTAAGGATAATTTGACTTTACGAACTTGAATTGGATTTAAGGATGATAATAGTACAGTAGGATAGTAATAGAAAGATAATAACACCAATGACAAATTTCGAAAATAACAACAACAACAATAATAATAATAATTATTATTATTATTAGATGTGTCAATACAATCTCAAAACAAACAATGCATCATATTATAGTAAAATCCATGGATGGATGGATGAATGAATCAGTTCTTGTTGTAGATGTAGAAACATCTACAAAGCTAGCATGTGACAAAAGAACATTATGAATGTGATTACACATTTATCACATGTATCTTTATATCTCTTCATGACGTATGCTGTTTATGAACAAGTGTTGTCAGAGTAGCAATGTTTCACTCAGTTTGAAACTGCTTGTGTCAGCACTTCCTCCAAATGTATTCCACACTGTTCTAACATTGATTCTAAATGCACACAAGAGCATAAAAGTACAGAACACTACCAAATAACTTCCATAAGATGAGCATGTATCTGAAGCGTATAGCATCCACATGACTTCCTCTCATGACCTTACAAAATCGCAACCGCTGAGTACTTGGTTTTACAAAGTGTGGAATAAGTCATGGTTGAGAGGAACGAGGCATTTTTAATAGAGGGCCGATGAGAGTCCTAGACCCTCTGAGCTCTTCCAAGTCAGGGGCTTTGTTTAAAAGCCTTCATAACAACTGAAGCCAACTGTGCGTTACTTGGGGTCAGTGGTATTGAGGACAGCAACTGCCGTGCAAAAAGGGTTTACATTGTGGAAATCAGATTCAGCTGTAGCCAGATAAACTCTCAGCTTTAGCCACAAGCGCCGAATACGGAGCTCATTAGCAACTACAAAATGAAACCGTGCCAACTCAATGCTGTTGCAACGCTCTATAAAGCAGATTATATTAGTTTGTGCGCTGAACGCTCACTTAAATGCAAATAGAGATAAATTAATTTAGCGTGTCTTAGTTTGCATTCGTCGCTCTGTTAAACACGGTTTGTGTTTATTTTTCATATTTGTGTCATTCTCAAATAATGGAGATTTTCTGATTTACAGATTGCTGAAGTTTTGGACTTAATTCAGTTTTCTCCCATAAAAGTGATGTTTAATGTTTATTTTGACATTATTAAACATCATAATTGATCATTTGATATCTGTTCAATAATTTTATCTTGTTTTATTTAACAAATAAAGAAAGAGATTTCTGAGATTCTAAGTGTCAGTATCATCTAAAAACACACTAATTAATCAAAAGTAAATACTTAAATTACAACATTAAGTCCTTTTTTGTACTGAAAATCTTTCAAAAGAACATTAAGCAGTGTAACAGTACAATTAAAAACAAGTAACAATGATATGGAAAAACCCAGCAATTGGGTTGTTTTGACCCAGCGGTTTGAGTTAAATGTTTGACCAAGCTGGGTAGTTTTATTTAACTCAAAATTACTATATTTCTTGCTTAAAATGAACCCAAAGTAAGTTGGAAATTAACATTTATTAATACGTTTAATAAATGAACATTTAGCAATATGTTTAATAAATAATAATTAAATAATAATTAAAAAAACATTTATTAAATTGCTTATTAATAAATGTTCACCTTTTGGTAATTACCTATGCCTCTAGTAATTAAGTGTCTGATTTTAAATTTCCAACTTATTTTGGGTTCATTTTAAGCCAGACATATATATTTATATATTTAAACAGTTAAGTTAAATAAAGCTACTGCTGGGTCAAGAGAACCCAATCACTGGCTTTGTCCATATTTAACCCAACTTTGGTTGTTTTTAACCCATCATTTTGTGTAATGGCACCTTTAAAATAACCAATATTTTTTTACAAATGTATTTTTACATTAAAATATAAAATTACAAGTAACATTTTTTAAATAAAAAGATGTAAATAAATAATAATGTAATTAATAAAATTAATTACTGTAGTTCAAAAAAATCATTTATTTTAATTTAGTAATTTAGTTTAATTACAAATTAACCAAAAATTAACATGATTATGAATAATTTCATAAAAATTCACTATATGCATATTTAGGTTCATACATTGAACCTGAAAGAACTTTTCTAGAATGCTTTTGTATTATCAAAATACAGGTTTATAAAATTAATAGTAAAGTTTAACTAAAGTGTAAAAATTAGACTTATAATGGTATAATGCTAACTTATAAATGTCATACAAGTGGTATAGCAGATGAAAGGGACAAGGATTTTTCAGGAATCTGACAAATTCAGTTAATCTTATATTAATAATATGGAGTTTCTTGAAAAGTCAAGAGACATGTTTGTCATCAGAATTTGAGAATGATCCACATAAAAGTATAAAAGTTGTCTTCAGAAAACTATTGAACGAGCAATAAAAAAAGAAAATTCTTCAATGAAGGTGTCTAAATTCTGCTTATTCGCCACCATTTAGATGAGACAGGCAGAGATTTATTTATTAATTCAGGATCCGGAGCGGAGACGGTGCTGAAGTAATCTGTTTTACTCACAGACTCTAATCTTGACGAGCTCTGCCAAGAGGGATTACCCTACAAACACATCATAAGTGATGTCGGGAGAATACTCGCTCATAAACACACACGCCACTGCATCAAAGGCTGCGGACGGCTTGTCATGCACTCAAAGGTAGAACACACTTGGCAGGAAAAGGGAATTATAACCAGACAAGCAACACACAGAGCCTTGGAATACATCAGACAGCCTCTCAAAACTACTGGAGGGCGGAAGAGTGATAGAGAGCTCTTCACCAGCACGGATGTGAAGAAAGAATACAGAAAATGAACAGGACAGGGTTATCATAAGCCATTTTCATACTGTCAGGACTCTGTAGTGCATGCCCTGGGTGAAATAATAATTGAAATTCCCCGGTGTACATTTTAGAAACATGGCTGACAGCATCACTTCCTGTTTGTCATTGGAAGAGTGATAGAGAGCTCTTCACCAGCACGGATGTGAAGAAAGAATACAGAAAATGAACAGGACAGGGTTATCATAAGCCATTTTCATACTGTCAGGACTCTGTAGTGCATGCCCTGGGTGAAATAATAATTGAAATTCCCCGGTGTACATTTTAGAAACATGGCTGACAGCATCACTTCCTGTTTGTCATTGACCCCCAAAGGAATCTCATAGAACTTTTAACTGTTTTTGTTGTATAAAAATTAGTGTTGTGTTTAAAACTGGTATATATGTGAATACATTATGTTTTTGTCTTTTAGTTTTTACTTTATTTTAATTCCTTTAGCTGAAATTAAGTTAATATAATAGTGTATTTTAAAGACTACTATGTTTTTCCCTAAAAGGATGTGTGAGATCAAACAATAATTGGCAGATTGAACAAAATGTAAAGAATTTAAAATGCAAAGATGAAATCTGAAGGTCAGAAAGCGTAATTCAATCATG